ATGTATCGTTCTTGTCAAGTAAATTATAAAATTTAAAGGATTTATGAGAAAATGTTAACTGATTTTGACTTTCACTTGTTCACTCTATATCTTCCCATGGATGAGCATAATATCACTTTAAACTAAATCCAAACACTGCCATATTTAACATCTCTTTCATGTTTTAAAAGAATGTTTAGGCAAATGAATGACAAAATACTTAATTGATCTTATTTACTCAAGTCGTGCTAAAATGACTTTTTTAAAAGTCCTAGCATGAATTCCTGTATAAATTCTATTCAAGTATATTTGGGACTTGAAGCTTAATTATATCTTTATTTTGTTGAACGAAATAACGACGCAGACAGAGCCGACGAGTAGTTTTAGAACAAGTACCATACAACACATAATTTTGCTTTTCAAAGCTTTAAATACATAAATTCCAAGTTTCCTTACAATTTTTACATTTTCTATTGTTAACAATTTAACAAATTTAATCATGTTTGGATGCTTCCAATATATTTTATGTATATATATTTTCCTTAAATCAGTGTACAATGAACATTCAAGAATAAAATGATATTCGTCTTCTAATATATAACATAAAGTACATTTTCTTTCATCGATTTTTGTTCTTAATGGCCAAGTCCATCTACCTGAATCAATTTGCAATCTGTAAGAAGACACTCTTACTCTTATTAATGAAAAACAAAACTTATTAACTGTATTGTGATCTAGATATTCTTGAAACTTGAAAACTGCAATATTTCTATAAAATAATGCTCTTGGTGAACTTTGTATCCTTTCATGCCAGGTTTGAACAAAATTATCTTTCAATCTTTGCTTTACTAATTCTAGAAATATGTCTGCATTTCCTACATTTTGCTGTAACCAAACTCCATAAAATCTAAAACACATAATACATTTATCATGTGTCCGTTTATCCTCATGTCCCCATGGACCATTTGGTCCAATGGAATATTGTAATAAACTTATCAACTTATATAATTGTTTTTCAGGGTGAATTAGATAATTTATAGAGACATTGCATTTTCTCATATACATCTACCAAAATGCTTCATTATATACTTAAAACTTTATAAGCCAAATATGAACTATAATAACTAAAAACAGTGTGTATGCAAAACCCTTTTTATATTAAAGACTTCTTTCCTTATCAGTTAAACCTAGATAAAAAAGGTTCCTTTTATTTTAACAAAAGAAGAAAATATTCATATTCTAAACATTTGAATAAAAGTAGTCTTACAAGTCTCAGTTCGATATATGTTTGCAATAATGAATGCGCACGTACCAAATTGCGTTTCAATGGAATTCAGTTATGATCAGATGATTTAAACCGGACTTTTCCCAAAAATTTCTCTATATCTTAACATAATTATATAGAATTATCGTCTCATATGAAAAATGTTTTGTCTATTAAGTGTAGAATCATGAAGTCACCTTATGGATACATCGTTAATTCTATCATTATTCTGAATTTAATTAGTTTTAATGCGTGGAACTGGTTTTAATTATCTTAAAAATTTTATCTTTGAAATTATTGTAGTGTCTTAATCAGGATTTACAAGTTAATCGGCTAATGATTATATATATATAAATTTTAACAAAAAGTGAAAAAAAAGATTAGAATTCATCACACAAATCTCATCATTTCCTTCTAAGGCATTGGAATACCTGAACATGGAAATATGACATCAATTAAAACATCCGTTATGAGTTCTATCTTTGCACGTGCAGAGGACTGGTGTTTTCAGATAGACCCGGTCATGTAAAACACGTGAAAAATATTTTTCTTCGTACAGAATAAGAAAACATTAAAAGAAAACAAAAATTAAAAAAAATAAAAAAAATCAATGATTCGCCTGTCATAAAAATATAGAAACAATTTTTTAACGAGATAATGTTCATCGAATGCAATTATTAAATATTCAAAAGTCCCGACATAAAATCTCTGAATAAATAGATATGACCACATTATGCACAACATGTATAACACTGTAGAAACTTTACTGGTAATCATTGCACTAAAATTCATATTTGACGTGTGACGTGTTGGCGTTAATTGACCTCGATGATGACTGTGCCATTGTTGAGTCCTAACAAGAATATGTCAAGTTTGGTACCACAGTATAAGAAAGACAGGATGAAATTTAACGAGAGTGCTGAAGAATAACAACCGGATTTAGCCGAATGCATAGCATGTTCAGTCTTCATACCAAGTTTGCTAAGATTGGGCACCACCAGGTCACACCAAGAGGTCGCCCGCGAAAATTTTGGAACGCAAAATAAATGGTATGTACAAATAGAGATGTTTATACTTGTCTGTATAAATTATCATGATATTGAAAAATATTCTCTAACAATGTATGCAGTTTTAACTATAATGAGTAAATTAATGATAAAATGAGTTTATATAATATTCGTATAAGACAATGTATTTTAGGTGTAAATGCACTTTATTGTCTCATACAAGTTTTATGGCGTATGACAGTAAGATGTTGATACTATATCATTCTGTATCATATCTGTTATCAATATGGAATGCCTGCCAAATACTTTTTCTACCTATCAATATGTTCTGTAAGTTAATTTATTTTGTGTGAAATGTAAAACTATTCTTCTACAAGGAATGTTATATGTTTGTACGGTATATATATTTTTTTTAACCGCCTCCGTGGTCGAGTGGTTAGAGTGGATGACTTCTAATCCACTTACCTCTCTGGCGTGGGTTCGATCCCCGGGAGATGCTTTGGTAGTTTAGCGCGGAGGAAGGTAGTCTTGTACTGGTGTAACTCTCCAGGAACGATGGTTAGGAAACTACACGCCTATATGACTGAAATACTGTTGGAAAAGGGCGTAAAATGAAACAAACAAACAAAAAAATATCTTTTTTTAAGAAGAAGAAGTAGTTTTTTGCAATTAAGTCATTATTATTCTAATTCATTGGTGGGCAAATTCTTTTTGGATATGTTCAGTCTTCATACCAAGTTTGGTAATGTCGCGGAGTCACATGTCACATCAGGAGAAGTTGAGCGCCATCAGCTTGACTTTTGAAAATATGAAAATGTTGTACATAAACTATTTTAAGTCATTAGCCGTTTAGCATCTGCAAAGAAAAAAAAGATACCTAAATAATACATTGACTGGACATTCGAGGAAGCATTGATTTTGATACCATATTTTTATTATCATACATCATGATTTTATCAAACATAGCCTTATACAAGATTGTTCTTAATCACATGCTCTTTATTTTTTTTTTGCTAGAAAGCCGCATTGTAAATAAGGTGTTACAAGCTGTATATGTCTTAATGTGTAACATTCGGTAAATAAAGTTATTTCATGCTTTTCAGTGGTTTACTGATTTATCCGTGAAAATTATATTTGATAAATTCACGGAGAAAATTATCAAAATATAATTTCACACTTTTCAATGACGAAACTACTTTTTTAAGATTTTCCCCATGTGGTACCTCAATTTTATTTTTGGTGACTATTCCGACAATGTCAGCCTGTTTAAAAAAAAGCAAAGCTGAAATTGATAAATAACTTATATGTCAAAAGTAATAAAAAGAAGAAAACTTACAGTAAGTTACTTTTATTCATTCAAAATACCAATCACCAAATATCGTCTCTTTAATTTCTAAAAAATACATTCCTTCCACATGCAAAACTGCTCTTGATGACATTTTGGAATATTTAAGTATCCTACGAGCAATAACTGCCGTATGCTTTATGAAAACTTGAAAAGCAATGACAGCTTTCAGACGAAGAATATGTAAACATGGCTTCCAAGTTTTCCAATTTCCTATCCACTTTTTTAAATGTTTACACATCTGTCAACACTTATTTATTGTCTGTTAAATCCTCAAATAAGTTTTCTTTCTTTTAAAAAAGGTGTATGACTAACAAATCTAAATGATATCACTCTGAATCAAACACAATTATTTCCATCCAGTGAAATACACAACTTTAAAAATGGCGGCAGCCTACATTTAACATAGCCAGGACTAATATAAATTCGCAGTCAGTAACAGAAATATGGATGGTTGGTTGGACTTTTTCTTCTACTAAAATTGTTTGTTTTTAATATATGAGCAAGGATCAGACATATTTTTTAAGATGAATACTCTCGCCACCATTTAACGTTGATTGTGGAACTTATTTTTCAGCCCATGACTTCTTGTCTTTAATGAGAAATTCGACTTTTTTGAGGTTCTAAATGGGGAAAACAGATCTTAATATTAACGTAAATATAAAGGAAATATCGTTTTAACTTGTGTTTTAGCATAAAATAAAAAAAATTGTTTGTTTGTTGTATAAGATGTAATTTTATTTCATCTCGTGAACGTTAAAAACAGTATTCTCATCCGTAGCTTCGCCACTCGTGAGAATACTGTTTTTAAAGCCCACTCGATGAAATAAAATTTCATCTTACACAACAACCAAACAAATATCCTCTATATTATTATCATTATTATTACTATTATTACTATTTTTATTATTATTTTTATTATTTTAATTATTATTATAATTATTATTATTATTATTATTATTATTATTATTATTATTATTATTATTATTATTATAACTTTGATATACAATGTATATCTTATTGATAATAAAAGCGATTTCTGTAAAATAATTACTTCCATTTGAACGTCTAGTCCTTCGGTAAATGTGTGCGATCTGTTGATGAAAAATTATATATTTGGAAAGGACAGTCACTGTCGCTTATTATTCTGCTTTATTCAAAAATCATATTCTAGCAGGAAGCACATGCATTAATTGATGCTAGACACAAGAATCTACCAATAATCTATAAGCAGATAGTCATGTCCTCCCCTTTCGGCTTAAATCAATCACTTCGACTTCGCATTCTTTCCATATTAGGCATGGTTCACTTATATTTAAATAGTGGATGTTGTGCATCAGTTTCATTTCAATTATCTAATAGATATAGTGAATAGCTAGTGCGACAGGCAATTATTTACAATTATTTACAAACATTTTTTTTTCAGAGATGGATAGCAATCAGAGCAAAGGTTCAGATATAGCTCGAATGATTTGGATTGTTGGATCACCACTTATTTTCGCCATTGGAGTTTTTGGAAACATTGTGACGATGATTGTACTATCACGCAAACGGAACAAACCATCGTCTACTACTGTTTTCCTGACAGCTAAAGCATTCGCTGATTTATTTGTGATTGTATTTATGTTGCCTCGATGGTGGTTGGTCTATCTGGTTGGTTACGATGTCCGTCATATTCATAACATAGTGTGCAAACTCCAATTTTTTGGCAACTATTTCAATGGAAGTTACGGCAGCTTTCTGCTGGCAGCTGTTACAATCGAGCGCGCCTTATGTACCGCTAAACCCTACATGGTAAAGAATATATGTACTGCAAATATTGCGGTAATCATTTCAATTGCTCTTGCCCTTACATCGTGTGTAATTCATGGACACATGTTGATTGGTATGAAGCTGTACGAAGTAACATACAACGAGACATCTGAAACTATTTCGTTTCCCCTGGATTCATATGAGAGGTCGACCAATACAAGTGCATTTATTTTTGACCAGTATTTCGATACTGCAAATTCTACCACTGAAGAGTGGATAGACGATTTGTTTGCCAAGATCGAATCAAATGAAGAGTTTGCTGGCATAAATAAAATCAAAGTATGCTGGTATGATGATCCAGAATATGGACAATATTTTTCAGGAATGCATCAAATTGTATCATTTATTACCTTCATGTTAATACCACTGATTATCTTCCTTGTTAGTGGTATAGTTATAATAAAAGGTCTACGAAAAAGCAAAAAGTTGCGGAAGAGTATGAGGAACAAATATACGCGAATATCGAGCAAGCAACCAGCATTCGACGATCGAGCTTCACAAATAACATTCACATTGCTTTTGGTGAACGCACTCTTTGTTGTTATGGCAACACCCGCACTTATTTACCTGATAGGAAGATCAGCTTGGGTTGACGAGGAGACAGGCATGACAGAAACACAGGAAATAGTCTGGGCGCTTGTAAATATGTTGGTTTACATGAAACATGCAATTAATTTCATCTTGTATTTCCTCAGTGGAAACAGGTTCCGTCGTCAAGTGTTGGAAATATTTGGATACAAGACAAATTCGAGCGTCGAAAGAAGTAAATCTGCGCATGCAAACCAACTCATTTCCGTTTCGAGCAGTTATGATCTAAGTTTGCAGAATTAGTCTATAACTGCATGTGCAGGTTAACAAGCCCTACACGTTTAAACTGTTTTTTTATTTGACTAACGGTAATATATGTATAAGAAATAGTTTCTACCACTCTATCTTTGCTCCATTTTTACTGGCACAGAAAAACGTATAGTAACTCAATATTGTTTTACGAATAAAGAACTGAAACAGTGATATTATGCACAAAATCAATTTGTTCATCCACGTGGAAAAATGGGTAATGTGTCAAAGTCATATTGATGATATTACCGGTAACCTAGACTACGACCCTACGTTTTGTCTTTGTATTACTTTTTGAAGCCAAAATAAGATAGAAGGGGAAAAAATAAATTTTATTACCAGTGTATTATGCTCAAAATCTTGTTTGTAATTTATTTACTTTCTTGCAATGCCAATTTTATACGAAGATAATCTGAAAATAATATCACTAATAAGTGCATTGTAACAACTTGCAAAGCTTTAGTATTTTTGAGTATAATCATTTTATGTTGTATGATGTTGTGAATTGTCCGATAAACAATGATTTTGTATAAAATTAAAATTTGACTTATCTGCGTTGTATGTATAAGATATAGATAATCTTATGCTTCTTAATGATTTTATTCAATTACACCAAGGGCGTAAACGATTATATTGTGTTTTCACGAAATTGTATTAAGTATAGGTAATTTCAGCATTTCTGTTGTAATGTAACTTTTTTTATATTAAATTCCAAAGATAAGATTTTTGTCTTTATTTTTTGTCAACCAAATTATTCTTGTGGTGATTGGTTATCGACAGGCATGTTATCTGATATACGGCATAATGCTGCAAAGACATGTGAATTCGAAATCCCCATACAAAACTTTCTACAATATTGACTCAAAAACTTTATGATATAGAAACTTAAATAGTTACAACAACAATGACGACGACGACGACGACAACAACAACAACAACAACAACACCAACAACAAAACGTAAAACTTAGTGTTCTTAGCCTAAATTCCGACGGATAATTACGCACATTTCACAGGACCTATTGAGTTATTTGTCGTTTTTGTCAAATATATTATAAAATTTAAAGGATTTATGAGAAAAATGTTAACTGATTTTGACTTTCACTTGTTCACTCTATATCTACCCATGGATGAGCATAATATCACTTTAAACTTAATCTAAACACTGGTATATTTAACATCTCTTTCATGTTTTAAAAAAATGTGTAGGCAAATGAATGACAAAATACTAAATTGATGTTATTTACTCAAGTCGTGCTTAAATGACTTTTTTAAAAGTCCTAGCATGAACTCCTGTATAGATACTATTCAAGTATATTATGGACTTGAAGCTTAATTATATCTTTATTTTGTTGAACGAAATAACAACGCAGATAGAGCCAACCAGTAGGTTTAGAACAAGGTCCATACAACACATAATTTTGCTTTTCAAAAGCTTTCAATACATAAATTCCAAGTTTCCTAACAATTTTTACATTTTCTATTGTTAACAATTCAACATATTTAATCATGTTTGGATGCTTCCAATATCTTTTATGTATATATATTTTCCTTAAATCAGTGTTCAATGAACATTCAAGAATAAAATGAAATTCGTCTTCCAATATATTACATATAGCATATTTTCTTTCATCGATTTTTGTTCTTAATGGCCACGTCCATCTACCTGAATCTATTTGCAATCTGTGAGAAGACACTCTTATAATGAATGCGCACGTACCAAATTGTGTTTAAATGGAATTCAGTTATGATCACATGATTTAAACCGGACTTTTCCCAAAATATGCTATATATTTAAACATATGTAGAATTATTGTCTCATATGAAGAATGTTTTGTCTATTATGTGAAGAACCATGAAGTCACCTTATGTATACATCGTTAATTCTATCATTATTCTGAATTTAATTAATTTAAATGCGTGGAACTGGTTTTAATTTTCTATCTTTAATATTTAATCTTTGAAATTATTGTAGTGTCTTAATCAGGATTTACAAGTTAATCGGATAATGATTAAATATATATAAATTTTAACAAAAGTGAAAAAAAGATTAGAATTCATCACAGTTATCCTAAGGCATTGGAATACCTGAACATGGAAATATGACATCAATTAAAACATCCGTAATGAGTTCTATCTTTGCACATGCAGAGGACTGGTGTTTTCAGATAGACCCGGTCATGTAAAACACGTAAAAAATATATGTGTACGTGCAGAATAAGAAAACATTAAAAGAAAACAAAAATTTAAGAAGAAAAAATGTCAATGATTCGCCTGTCATGAAAATCTAGAAACAAATTTTTAACAAGATAATGTTCATCGAATGCAATTATCAAATAGTCAAAAGTCCCGACATTAAATCTTTCAATAAAAATTAAGGACATCATATAAAAGTTGAGATACATCAAAATAATCTAATCGCGTCATTTTTCATAGTAATTTTCATTATCTAAGTGGTTCTTTGAAAATTAATAAAGGTCACAATATAACATAAGTGGGGCCTTTAAGTTCACTTCAAAACATAGATATGACCACATTCTGCACTACATGTTTAACACTGTAGAAACTTTACTGGTAATCATTGCACCGAAATTCATATTTGACGCGTGACGTGTGAATTGACTGTGTTGGCGTTAATTGACCTCGATGATGACTGTGCCATTGTTGAGTCCTTACAAGAATATGCCAAGTTTAGTACTACAGTATAAGAAAGACGGGATGAAATTTAACGAGAGTGCTGAAGAATAACAACCGGATTTAGCCAAATGCATAGCATCTTCAGTCTTCATACCAAGTTAGCTAAGATTGGGCACCCACAGGTCACACCACGTCCCGGCTCGTGAAACTATTTGGCATTTTTTCATGTTTCGTGAAAATATTTTCCATATTTCACGAAAAACGAAAAAATGTCCTCTTAGTATTTTAGGTGTAAATATACATAACTTTATTGCCCCATACAAGCTATATGACCTATGACAGTAAGATGTTGATACTAAAGCATTCTTAATGGTTTTCAATATGAAATGCCTGATAAATACTTTTTCTACCTGTCAATATGTTCTGTAAGTATCTTTATTTTGGTGTGAAATGTAAAACTATTCTTCTACAAGGAATGTTTTATGTTTGTACGGTACATCTTTTTTAAGTAGGAAAGGTTAAGTCATTATTATTCTAATTCATTGGTGAAGGCACATTCTTTTTGGATTTGTTCAGTCTTCATACCAAGTTTGGTAATTTCGCAGAGTCATATGTCACATCAGAAGAGGTTGCCCGCTATCTGCTTGACTGGGCGTTTTCATTTTGAAAATATGGAAGAGTTGTGCATAAACTATTGTAAGTCATTAGCCGTTCAGCATCTGCAAAGAAAAAAAAAATATCTGAATGATACACAGTTTTTTTAAATATAACGAAGCTATCGCTTTGTGTTCTTCAAATTTATACTGACTGGGCATACGATGAAGCATTGAATTTGATACCATATGAGCCGCGTCACGACAAAACTAACATAATGGGTTTGCGACCAGCAAGGATCCAGACCAGCCTGCGCATCCGCGCAGTCTGATCAGGATCCATGCTGTTCGCTTACCAACCCTATTACAAGTACAGAAACTGATAGCGAACAGCATGGATCCTTATCAGACTGCGCGGATGCGCAGGCTGGTCTGGATCAATGTTGTTCGCAAGCCTATTATGTTGGTTTTGTCGTGACGCGGCTCATATTATTATAATCATACATCATGATTTAATAAAACACAGGCTTATACAAGATTGTTATTAATCACAGCTGTTTTTTTTGTGCTAGAAGGCCGCATTGTAAATAAGGTGTTACAATCTGTATATGTCTTAATGTGTTACCTTCGATAAACAAAGTTATTATTTTTATTATTACTAGAAGTAGTAGTAGTAGTAGTAATAGTAGTAGTAGTAGTAGTAGTAGTTATAGTAGTAGTAGTAGTAGTAGTAGTAGTAGTAGTAGTAGTAGTAGTAGTAGTAGTAGTAGTAGTAGTAGTAGTAGTAGTAGTAGTAGTAGCAGTAGCAGTAGCAGTAGCAGTAGCAGTAGCAGTAGCAGTAGCAGTAGCAGCAGCAGCAGCAGCAGTAGCAGTAGTAGCAGAAGTAGTGTAAAGTAGTGTACTGTTTATAACTTCGATATACAATATATATCATAGTGATAATAACAGCGATTTCTGAAAAATAATAACTTCAATGTAACCGTCTAGTCCTTCAGTAAATGTGAGCGATCTGTTACATGAAAAATTATATATTTGGAAAGGAAAATCACTGTCGCTTATTATTCTGCTTTATTCAAAAAACATATTCTAGCAGGAAGCACATGCATTAATTGATTGGCAGAAAGAAAGATATTATATAATTGATGCTAGACACAAGAATCTACCAATAATCTATAAGCAGATATTCATTTCCTCCCATTTCGGCCTAAACCAATCACTTCGACTTCGCATTTTTTCCATATTAGGCATGGTTCACTTATATTTAAATAGTAGATGTTGTACATCAGTTTCATTTGCATTATCTAATAAAAATAGCGAATAGCTATTGCGACAGTTATTATTTACAATTATTTACAAACATTTTTTCCGAGATGGATAGCAATCAGAGCAAAGGTTCAGATATAGCTCGAATGATTTGGATTGTTGGATCACCACTTATTTTCGCCGTTGGAGTTTTTGGAAACATTGTGACGATGATTATACTTTCACGCAAACGGAACAAACCATCGTCTACTACAGTTTTCCTGTCAGCTAAAGCATTCGCTGATTTATTTGTGATTTTATTTATGTTGCCTCGATGGTGGTTGGTCTATCTGGTTGGTTTCGATGTCCGTCACATTCATAACATAGTTTGCAAACTTCAATTTTTTGGCAACTATTTCAATGGAAGTTACGGCAGCTTCCTGCTGGCAGCAGTAACAATCGAGCGCGCCTTATGTACCGCTAAACCGTACATGGTAAAGAATATATGTACTGCAAATATTGC